ATGTGGTTCCAGACATACAGTACCCTGGCGTCTACAAACTAAGTTGCCTCTGTGGTAGCAGTTACACATTGGAGAAACCAAACGACATGTCTCGGACCGCATCCGTGAACATAAAGCAGACCTGAAACACGGTAGGACAAACACCGTGGCAGATCACTGTTACAATTCAGTGGGCTCACATGACATTGACTTCTCCAAGACAGAGGTTCTCTGCAAGCCATCTGGTTTACCATGAGATTCGTTCATGAGGCGATCCACATATACAAACACAGAGACAATTTCAACCGAGAAGATGGATTCTGGCTCAGCAATCATTGGAAGGACGTAATAAACCATTTCGGATCTAACTGATTGTGTTCACGTTTACGGTGACTTTCAGTCCGCAGTCCACTCACTGGCATCTAACCTATATATCTTTTATTCTCTGCAGGGAATGGAGTCTTTGCTCCGCTGCAAGTCTCCAACCACCACTCTCCCATTGACATATTTCATTGCTTCCTCTTAGTACCTTTCACGCGACGGTCAATGGTATAGTGTATAGCAGATTGTATAATAATAAATAGTATAAAAGTGTAATGTTTAATATAATGTATAAGGTAATATATAGTATCGTAATTGTATAGTGAATATACAGCAGTGTGGTATACAGTAAGATGGGTAGAATAATACATAGTGTAATATTACAATGTATAGTCTAAGGCAGGGGTCCTCAAACTACGGCCCACGGGCCAAATGCGGCCCGCCGAGGACATTTATCCGGCCCATGGTCACTAATTGGGCTGCGCTTGTGAGCACTAATTGGGCTGCGCTGGTGAGCACTAATTGGGCTGCGCTGGTGAGCACTCATTGGGCTGCGGTGGTGGGCAATGATTGGGCTGTGGTGGCGAGCACTGATTTGGCTGCGCTGGTGAGCACTGATTGAGCTGCGGCGGTGGGCACTCATTGGGCTGCGCTGGTGAATGGTTCAATGGGCCAATTGACTGGACTTGCCCCCCAGGCCTAAGGCTGCCAGCCCTCCCCTGGCTGCGCTTGACTGGCTCTCCCTCCCTCAGCTCCCTCACTTGCCCCTCGGTTCCACTCCCAGTGATATTCTTGTGTGCTGGGGATGTAGATCCCCAGCACACGCACCGCTGAGTAAATGATAGAGGGGTAATAACAGAGTGATCTCTGATCTCTGGAGGGGCTGCCTGCTGTTTTCCCGTGCTGGTCAGTGACAGACAGCCGAGGAGTAGGAAACCCAACTTAAATGACAGTAAGTGCATTTATATTCTGATTGCTATTCAGTTGTATGAGGTTATGTGTTGTATGTTGTGTAAGCCCCGGTTCATACTGTTGCGATCTCTGAGCAGTGCGAGTTCAGCCATATGCTTGTATGGCTGAACTTGCATTAGAATCTGAAGAAAAAAGGCACATGTGCCTTCTTTTTTCCTGCAGTGGAATCGGATCGCATGGTTCTTCTCCCCCATGCGATCAGATTCCTATGCGAGTTCGCAGATCGCACTGCGATCTGTGAACAAAACTGCAGGTGTAATTAACTTTTTAATGGAGTTCCCCCAATCAGACTGCATTGATGGGCAGTGCAGTCTGTACGTCTCTGTGTGGGCAAAGTTATTGCTGGTATATTGTTTTTGTAGCGCTGTACATATATATATTGGTATTTTACTAATAGCAATTTTGACTCCCTAGGAAACAATGATGTCAAGAAAGAGAAAAATTGACTCAGAGTGTAGGATATTCAAAGAACAGTGGACTTATTACTTTTTCATGCAGTACAAGGAAAGAGCTGTGTGTCTGATATGCCAGAATATAGTGTCTGTGTTCAAAGAATACAATTTACGTCGACACTATGAAACTCAACATAAAGATGAATATGATTGTTTGGTCGGAGAAGTGAGAAAAGATAAAATATTAAAACTGAAAAATACATTAACAACTCGGCAAAATACTTTTGTGAAGCAGAAGCAGCTAAATATTTCATCACTGCGAGCAAGTTTTCAAGTTGCCAAGCTAATAGCGTGCACTGGCAGACCATTCGTGGAGGGAGAATTTGTTAAAGAATGCCTTCTTTCTGTTGCCAAAGAGATGTGTCCAGAGAAGGCCGATTTATTTAGTACAGTGAGTCTTTCAGGACCTACAATTACACGGAGGATTGAAGAAATGGGAGACAATTTGCATTAGCATTTGCAAAACTCCACAAAAAAAAAACTTTCCTATTTTTCCTTGGCACTCGACGAAAGCAATGATGTTCGTGATTCTGCACAACTTCTAATTTTTATTCGTGGGACGAATGACTATTTCGAAGTCACAGAAGAGCTTGCTGCACTGCAAAGCATCAAAGGAACAACTACAGGAGAGGAGATCTATGAAAAGGTTTGCCAAACTGTAAATGGTTTGGAGCTGAACTGGGCTAAACTAGCCAGTGTGATAACTGATGGTGCTCCTAGCATGGGGGGGTCTAAGAAATGAGTAATTGCTCGCATTAACCAAAAGATGGACAAACATAACCATTCTCATCCAATAGCCATACACTGGCTCACCCACCAACAAGCGCTGTGTAGTAAATCACTGAAGTGGGACTCTTGTTATGAAAATTGTGGTATCTTGTGTTAACTTCATTAGAGCTCATGCACTAAACCAGACAATTTCAGGAATTTCTGTCTGAGCTAAATGTTGACTATGAAGATGTTCTGTACCACACAGAAGTCCGTTGGCTGAGTCGAGGGAGAGTTTTGAAACGTTTATATGACTTACTTCCACAGATTACAGCTTTTCTGCTTTCAAAAAACAAATAAGTACCAGAGCTCAATGATGCAGAATGGAAATGGCACCTTGCCTTTCTGACAGATGTAACAGAGCTACTCAACAGTTTCAATGTGCAACTTCAAGGAAAGGGGAAGCTCATCTGTGATATGCAATCACATGTCAAAGCATTTGAAGTAAAATTAGGCCTCCTCATCAAACAAGTGAAGGAGGAAAACTTCTGCCATCTCCCCATAACTCAAAATCTGTTAGCGGAAAAACCATTGGTTGCATTCCCAAACAAAACATGTGTGGATTCACTGGAAAAATTGCAAAAGGAGTTCCAATTTAGATTTAAAGAGCTTCATCTCCATGAACAGGACATACAGCTTTTCCGTAACCCATTTTCTATTGACATTGAAAATGTGGATACAATTTACCAAATGGCACTGGCTGAACTGCAGAATTGTGACTCTCTGAAAGACGCATTCAAGTCATCTCTCCCCTCTGAGACATATCCTCATCTCAGGAACCATGCACTCAAAATGGCAACCATCTTTGGCAGCACTTATGTCTGTGAACAGACTTTTTCCAGAATGAAATATTTGAAATCTCCAACCAGATCTAGACTAACGGATGCACACTTGCATCACTTGTTACAACTAGCAGTGACAAATATGGAACCGGACATTGACCATCTCATTAGCCAAAAGCAGGCCCATAGTTCCCATTGAAATACTGGCAAGTTTGTTGATTTAACTTTACTTATTCTTCATTTTAAATATTGTATTTGTTCCCGTTTTGTTTCTTCACTTCAAAATAAGATATATGCAGTGTGCATAGGAATTTGTTCATAGTTTTTTTAAACTATAGTCCGGCCCTCCAACGGTCTGAGGGACAGTGAACTGGCCCCCTGTTTAAAAAGTTTGAGGACCCCTGGTCTAAAGTATAGGGTGGTGTATAGTAATGCAGTATATAATTTAATGTTGGGTTTGTCTATGGCAGTATATAGTACGGGGTAGACCCGTGTGATGTAAGAGAAAAAAGGTTAGCTAGAGGCATATTATATTTTTTGCGACATAGAATTGTAATGTATGACTTACTGTTAGTAGCTCAGCTTATTGGAGAGTATATTTAGTATATTGATGATACTGATGTAGTTTATATTTTAGTTTATTACGTAGTGGTTTAGCTGCTGCAGCTCCTTACTATTAAAATTCCTTCCCTTTATTACTGCTAACCCTACTCCCTCCCTTTGATGCTGCTAATCCTACATAATGCACGGGCATAATGACTTTGAAACCCCCCCACCTCCTACGCATTCCACAAGTAGTGACTAATCCCATATCTGCATTTCCCATAAATATGCTAAATTCCTCTTGATATGCACATTCCTTTGTCAAGGCGCCCTTCCCCCTCCAACCCAGCTTCAATATATGCTGCCAAGCATGGTGGTGCTCATTCAGATGCTGTCTTTCCGACAGACCTGTTCTTCACCTGAGGACGGCTGCTTGCGTTGTGGCCGAAACATCGTGGGAATTGTATTTTATTATGTTTTATTATTATTTTATTATTTCCCTTCTACGTGACTTTACCGAAAGAACCAAGAAGATTAATGGGGTTGTATACAATTTAGATACTACTTATTACTAATATGCATACATAAATTAAAATAAATGCATAAATAAATTAAAATAAATTGAAATACAAATAAAATGTAACAACACTTTACCTTGCTGAGAGGAGTTGATTAGCAAGGGTTGTGCACTGAACGAGATCGACTGTATCGGCAAACTGAGGAGCGGCGCTTTCTTTCAGTCGTGAACGGGGTCTACGTGGGTACGCGGTGAGACTCATCCCGACCCAAGACATTTTTTCTCTGGTCAAAACACGACGTATACCAAATTCGACGTATTCCAAAGCGGTCATATACCGAGGTATTTCGATTGAAAGCATTCGTGACTGCAGGGATTCATATTCTTGGTTCTTTCGGTAAAGTTACGTAGAATGGAAATAATTGTTTAATTTGTATTATTTAATTATGTAAATTTATTATTATTTTATTATTTCCCTTCTACGTGACTTTACCTAAAGAACCAAGAACATGCATAAATAAACGTGGATTGTCACCAAATTCGGCCACCAACTCCCCAAAAGAAAGGTTACAGAGCATCGCTTGCCACAGGGCAATTAAAAAAATCATAAACTAATGCATGCACATACGCACATCTTAAAGACGTTCTTATTTAGAATGACAATACCTTCTCACGTAAAACACTTCCGTTCTTCCTTCATCCACCAGAAAAACGTTCAGCCTGGTTACTTTGTCAATGGGGAATGACGACGCTCCCTGTGAAACAAAGGCCGGTTTGGGCGACTGAGTGTCAGCGCTTGCTTCCACTCCTGGGTGCCTGTCAGGTGCAGCAGCAGCACAGTTGTTCTCATGTTCCCAGCCGCATTCCAAGACACCATCGATCATTTCCATTTCCTCCGAGCAGGTGAGCAGATCCGACACCACTCCAATTTTTTCCCTCGTTTCGCCGATTTCACAGGCACGTTCGGCGCTCTTCTCGGTGGGCAAGTTCCATTTGGCAACGTCGCCCTCTCCACACGCGTCCGCGCGTTTGCCATCCGCGTCCTCTCGCTTTTGCGAGCTCGTGATCGAGCCACAAACACCGGGGGGTTTTGGATGCGTGCATTCAAGCAGAGAGAGGTAATCTGCCTCGACAAAACCGCAGCCGCTTCTGTCGGCCGCATGCAGCGTCTGCCCAGCAGCGCCGCCTCTCGCCTTCACAATGCCCTCATCGGCCACGTAGCCAGTTTCCACAGACGTCATTTCGGCTGCTGTCGCCACTCCGAGAGCCGCGTCGTTTTCCGACTCCCGCTCGTCAAACACCCTTCTGACCCTTTTGTACACGAATTCAGGGGTGCCTTCCGATTCAAGTGAAACTTCTTCACGGTGGGAAACTGGCGTCGTGCTTTTCAATGCGATGCTTCGTAAAGGCCCGAGGCTGGCCGTGGCCTCTCCCCCCTCCGCTTGCACAGAACCGCACAACTCCTCGCCAGCCCGGATGGAAATTATTTTGACGCGGTGCCACTTATTGCTCACGCAGCTCCGCATGCACAGAACCTCGCCTGCGAGAACAAAACGCCAATAAGTTTGTTGGTGGCTTACTCGGCGCAGTAGTTACACGTCACAAGTTTACTTTTCAGAATTCAAATTTTGTTACGGATTTCTTTAAAAAAAAATACAAAGTGCTTTAAAAACTAATTCCTCCTGGCAAATCAAAAGCAGCAACAATTTAAACTTTGTGCCACATTTCATGATTTTTCTTATAACAAAATGTACATGACCGTCAAGCTATACAGTAGTCTCTCGGTCAACGTTTTTAATCTGTTCCACGAAAACTGTTAACCTAAATAACTGTTAATGGAATATAGCAATTACATGTTAAAAGTGTAGTGAGTCCAACTGAGTCATAGACGTTGTCTTGGGAGCAACACTATTTCTTTCAGTAACTCAACATAACATAACACAATCTACACTTCGGTGTTGAATGCCCATCTAGCCACGCTACGGCAGAACTAGACATGGTTCGCTATCCCGGCCCGGACCACAAGCTGAGTCCCGGACCGTGTGGCTAGAGGCTTCTTTTACCCGAAGTGGATCTTCATCACCAGCAACACGAAGAACCCCGAGCCCCTCACGGGGCCCCCGTTATATCCCCCTGGGCTGGGGCTGGATCCGCCTCTTGCCCCACTCACCTTCTAGATCTCTCGAGCTCTTTCCGAAAGGCTCCCGAGAGCTCCTTTAGACCACGTGACCGCCCAGCGGCCTACGTCCACCGGTGGCCCCCCTCCAATATCATCCGGTCATGTGTCGGCAGGTCAACCAGCGTATCATGCCCCAACGTAACCCTGGCTGGCTGACGCTCCCTCTCGCTCCCTCACCGGGAGCCCGCATCGCACACTGTACATGGTGCCTCCGCGCTAACCAGCACTCACCAAAGCCTCGCTAGGGCTGGTACTACGCCCAGTAAGCGGGCTCCCCATAATGCCAAAACATTATCCGCCGTGGCTTCGTAAGCCCGGCACCACAGTGACAATCACAGTCACTACAAAAGCATAAATCCGTTCCACTGCAAAAACAGAAGTAATGTAAACAAAGCCAGTTGAGGTCTAAACGCTCATACGTGGTGTCGCTGACTGGCTGAGGACATGGCTCAGTCCCTCTTACGAGCACTCTGATTGGCCTAAATTGGCGGCCGCGTACATAACGTACCTTTAGTCACACTGTTAACGTTAGTCAAAATGTTAATGTTAATCAAAACAATGGGGTCCCTATGGGAGGTAAAACGTTAAGCGAAAAAACGTTAACCGATGTCACTGTTGACCAAGGGAATACCGCACATCAATGTACAGTCTCTATTATGGCGGTGAGTGGCAACGCAGCGGTTTGTCTCGGTATTCTAGGGACCTATACGCATGCTGGGATGACTCGGACCGCTCCAAGAGCCAGCGCTAGGGTCAGATGTTTTTTAAGGTTTCTTGGACACAAAATGAGGGCGGGAAGGCTGTTGGATCCTAGGAAAGCAATGGGTCGCACCGCAGTGGAGTAGGCTGCACAACATTCTCGTTCACCGTGACCCTCGGGTGTCAAAGTCCTCACCATGCCTAAGAGTATCGCCTGGATTGTTTTGACGTTCACAAATTCAGTGTAATACTTAATTACTGCCACGCCGCTATAATAACCCTGCTGCGCTATTTGTGAGTGGATTCAATGCAGTTTTACGACGCTTAAAAAAATATTGCGACTCCGCACTTTTCGGTTTCAAAATTCGCGGCTTTGGGGTGAAGAACGTGGAGGTTCGTGTTATTAAAACTACAGTAGACTCTCGATTATCCACACTAATGACGAGGAAGACGGCCACGGATAATTCAAACATCACGGATAATACAAAAATATCCATTGTCTGCGGATCTCTATGCCAAAAAACACTCATTTAGGTGTATATTATGTTTACGTTTCTCTGCCATCGCACAGTTTCGTCAATTAAAACTAAAAAAGATTAATGATGAATTTTGATTGAAACTCTTACGATTTAGAACTAATAGTAACGATCGACCGTTCGATGCGTGTGCTCAGCGATAACACTTTCCTGCTCCCGTGCAGAAGACTTTGCCCACCAAGTTAGACAGCAGCAGAGCCACGCCAATAACCATCAATCCAACTCCACCCACTGTTGTAAATATTTGCAACTACTCTACTGTAGCGGCGATCATGTGGATTTCGAATCAACCTGGATCAACATATTTGCTCGGTAAAAGCACGTGACTTGTAATAAACATTTACAAGAATAACAATGTATAACTGTTTTTAGATGATTAATTTGGGCTTAAGGTAAAATCCATGAGTTATTCATTTGTCAAAATCCACAAATCGGATAAACCGCACGCGGATAAGCATTTCTACTATTTATGGCCCACGAAAAAAAAGAATCCTCAACATGATCAACACAAATTCTTGAGGCGTTATAGGGAGTCGTCCCACTGCAAGTTATTCCAGTTGGAGAAAGATGCACGGAGATCAGGGGAGTCACCCTCTCACGCCACGCAGCCCAGGGAGATTGATTAACTACCACCACCTCTAAGGTCAAGCCTGGACGTCACACACATTCTATAATTCTAAAACCTGTATTGAAACTTGATCTGCGTCTCCTGCAATGGTTCTAAATAAATAATAACGAAAACCGCATTGGGCCACAACTGTCTTGCGTGTGCATGCCTGTGTGTGTTACCGATGCTGAGGGTTTGTATGGCTGAAGAGTTTTTAGTCTGGGCCATGCAGTACTTGGAAAGCGCCAACTTGAGCTTCTCGTTGCGGTAGCGAGCGGCGTAGAACCGCACGTAGAAGTGTCTGGGATTCACCACGTGGGTCAGCATCACCTGCTCCGAATGCAACGCGTCTGCGCACATGAGCCCACGACACAACACAACATAAACGATGAACACCACGAATGCGATTGAACACAGAAATACACTTTACGTCGTGCACCAGGTGCGCGCGTTATGCTGCCAAGTTTGACGCATTTTCACTTACACACCGCATATTTTTATATACAGGCATAAGTTTGATGGGAATATATGGCAATTGCAAAACGCATTATAGTTCACATGGTACGCTTGGGGGCTGCTATGTTTACAGCTATATTTACTACCTCAGACACTGTCATACAAATCTGCTATCCCATTCCTGCAGTCAATAACAGCCAAGTGATTAGATGATACAAAGGCTTTAGGAAGCTCATCGAGCACCGGTACAGAGGGAGAGAGGCAGACGCAGGGTCAGATAACCTCGTCACCTACCTCCCCCCCCACCTTGAGTTGTCATGGATACCTCATTCATCCAGGCATTGGCAGTGAAATGCTCTTAGGCAACGTTGAGGACTAGACACTCGCTCATATTGTCGGGTGTCGTGTCGGGAGTGCCTGCCACTTTTTCTTAAGTTTTTCTGATCGTCCACTGGGGCCATTGCTTTGGTGGACAGATTTGTCCTTGTGGCATTTGCAGCATTTAGTAACGTACGTTTAATGAAGGTCAAAAAACTGGATATGAATTAGGCCCATAACTTATACTGAAGTCGTAACTTATACCAAAGTCAAGAGGATTAAAATTTAGTATTGACACAATAGCATTATAATGTATTCATGAAGTTAAAATAATAAGCACAATGCAGAAAGTGACTTGAGAGCGACACATCTCTTTATTTTATTTTATTATTTATAAAACAAATTACGCCCGAGAATGTTTTCACAAATGTGCTGTAATCTGTCACACGAGTGCGTGGTTCCTAACCTTGTGAAATCCAGGAGGGCCGATAACGGGACGATTTTGCGTTCCCTATCGTGCACCTTTGGACGGAGCTCATCTCCCCACCAGCTGGCATTATTCCTACCCAAGCGGAGGGAAAAGAAAAAAACAGCCAAGTGCCAACATCTGGAGAAATGCTCAAGAGGTTACAGATAAATACATTGACAGAATTTCACTTGACTGTGTGTGACGCTATCACTCACCACGCTCAAGTAGGGGTCGGCTCTCGAGAACAATCGCGTTGCCACTGCTGGCTCTAAACACAAACCGAACAACTCTCCCTGCCCCTACTTGTTCCGTGATAATTCACAGACGAGGTGCTGAAGCATAGTACCGAACCATTCGTGTTTGGAGCTTATTGCAGCGGGATAAGGTTATGGACTATGTTGCTGAAAAACAGCCACTGCTCGCTCACATTTACTAAATAATAATACAGGGACTGCTCTTACGAATATTCGACTTATAAACTTTTAGAGATACAAACAAACATGCCCCACATGTCCAGTTGCCTGTTCGGACCGAGAGTCGTAATTTCAACCGCCGCGCAAAAGATGGCGGTGGTAGCATCTTAATCTGCAGAACGTGAAGAACCAGTGGCATCTATATCTACAGGAGATAATACAACGTTTCAAGCCATTCCCCGTATTTAGTGTACATGCAGTACAACATGTTTGGAATTGATAGGAGTAAAGTTGGACTTGCAAACAAATCGACTTACGAACAGACCTCTGGAACCGAACTCGTTAGTAAGTAGAGGAATGTGTGTTTACATTTAACTTATCTATGGAATCTATTTGCCAGTATCTAAAATGATACAAATTATAGGTTTTGTACCCTTTCTGGCAATAAAACAGGTGTTAAGATGTTCAAAGAGATACCTTTATTGCCAAAGGGTATAAAACCTATTGTTTTATTTTCCACATTTTTTATACTGATTCTAGATTTGAAGCTTTCGTGACTGCAAGGATTCATACTCTTTGGTTCTTTCCGGTAAAGTCACGTAGGTAAAAAATAAAATAAAATAAATGAAAACAACTAAATTAAATCACGACGTTTCGGGCACAACACAAGCATCCTTCTTCAGGTGGGGACAACGTAGCGAAAGCGCAACCGCTTAAGTGTGTCTCAGAGATGGCTGTAACGAGGAGTTATATAGTTGCGGGGGATGTAGGGAGGGGGAGGAGCCATGGTGAGTGTGGGGGTAAGGTGTAGGCTGGGAGGTAACGTTTTGAACACCGGGGGTGCGCTGGGAGGCAACAACTGGAGCTGAAACTGGAGCTTTGTGATGTAGATGGCGGAAGTAGATAACCAAGCTAGAATTAAGCCGCCTTTTGTTATTCCCTCATCAAAACACTATACCATAGGGCCCACTGCATCTCTGACCAACACCACCTGGCCAGTGAATTGGAACATGTACATCGGGCCTCAAGATGAACGGATAATCGGACCGTGCTATCCGCCGAGCTGTTTCTCCCAACGTGGAGAAACAACCCCTTGAGACTTCGATCAAAATCATTACGTTGCCATACATAGCAGGCATCAAAAATATTTCCAAAATTCTGAACAAACACAAGATCCAGGTCCGATTCAGTAGAGTACACAAGATCAGCGATCTGATCCCATCCGTAAAGGATGTCATTCCTGACTTGTGTCTACAAACTGAGCTGCACCTGTGGGGATTGTTATATCGGAGAAACGAAACGACATTTCTGATCGCATTCGCGAGCACAAGTCGGATTTTAAACATGACAGGACGAATTATTCGGCCGTAGCTGACCACTATTATAATACTCATCTTCTTGGTTCTTTCGGTAAAGTCACGTAGAAGGGAAGTAATAAAACAATGAAAATAAAACACAATAAAATAATTCTCACGACGTTTCGGCCACAACGCAAGCAGCCGTCCTCAGGTGAAAACCAGGTCCGTCGAGGCGACAGAGTCTGAATGAAACAGCACACGAGCATGGAGCATATATATATATATAAGCTGGGCGCCTTGACAAAGGAATTTGCATATCAAGAGGAATTTAGCATATTTATGGGAAATGCAGGAATGTGATTAGTACTACATATGCATGTGCATTATGCAAGATTAACAGCATCAAAGGGAGCTGCAGTTGCTGCTGCTGCTGCAGTTGCTGCTGCTGCAGTTGCTGCTGCTGCTGAAGTTACTGCTGCTGCTGCAGTTACTGCTGCTGCTGCAGTTGCTGATGCTGCTGCAGTTACTGCTGCTGCTGCAGTTGCTGATGCTGCAGTTGCTGCTGCTGCTGCAGTTGCTGCTGCTGCAGTTGCTGCCTTATCCATTTTAATATAACACTATGTATTATTCTACCCACCCTAATATGTATCACACTGTTATATATTTACTATACAATTACGACACCATACATTACTCTGCACACTGCACCAAGCATACAAATGCCACACTATCTGCCACTATACACTGTACCATTGACCGTCGTGTCAATGGGTGAGTGGTGAGGGGAAACTTGCAGCGGAGCAAAGAATCCATTCCCTGTGGAGAATACAATGCCAGTGAGTGGAACGCGGTCTGAAAGTCACCGTAAACGTGAACACAATTAGTTAAGATCCGAAATGGTTTATTACGTCCTTCCAATGATTGCTAAGCCAGAATCCATCTTCTTGGTTGAAATTGTCTCTGTGTTTGTATATGTGGATCGCCTCATGAACGAATCTCTCATGATAGCCAGATGGCTTGCAGAGAACCTCTGTCTTGGAGCAGCAGCAGCAACTGCAGCAGCAGCAACTGCAGCAGCAGCAACTGCAGCAGCAGCAACTGCAGCTCCCTTTGATGCTGTTAATCCTGCATAATGCACATGCATATGTAGTACTAATTACATTCCTGCATTTCCCATAAATATGCTAAATTCCTCTTGATATGCAAATTCATTTGTCAAGGCGCCCAGCTTATATATATGCTCCAAGCTCGTGTGCTGTTTCATTCAGACTCTGTCGCCTCGACGGACCTGGTTTTCACCTGAGGACGGCTGCTTGCGTTGTGGCCGAAACGTCGTGAGAATTATTTTATTGTGTTTTATTTTTATTGTTTTATTACTTCCCTTCTACGTGACTTTACCGAAAGAACCAAGAAGATGAATCCCTGCAGTCACGAAAGCTTTAAATCGAATTTTATTATAATACTGCTGGTTCTCATGACATTGTGTTCTCCGATACCAAGGCACTCTGCAAGCCTCCTGGATACTTCTAGATTTGAAGCTTTCATGACTGCAAGGATTCATACTCTTAGGTTTTTTCGGTAAAATCACGTAGGTAAAAAAATTAAATAAAAATTTACTAAAAGTAATAATAGAAATAAAATAATAAACCACGACGTTTCGGAGGCAACACAAGTCTCCGTCATCAGGTGAGACCGTCACAGCTAGATTTGCTGTATCAAGTGAAGCAGAGATTCCAAGATACAAGTTCTTAAATACAAGTTAAGGGGGGAGGAGGGAGGAAGGGGCTTATCTGAATGTGGTAGCCAATGAATGGAACGTATTGGGAGGGGGGGGGCGGGGCTAAAAGAGAGTGAATGTGGAACTGTTGGACCTGTTGGTGCACATGCTAGAAGAGAGCAAAAATGCCCATGTTGTTTTATCCAGTGTTGGTTGATAATCAAATACAAAAAGGAGAGTACTGTTAAACGCTGGGGACGGCAACACTCGGTAAAGTAAAAGTGCCTGTCAAATAAGATGGTCCAAAAATGTGTAGTTAAATCCTTTTTGCATGGTTAATAACATCTTTCCAATGATTACTCAGTTTGTACCCATCATCACGGTTGAAATTATGTCTGCGTTTGTAAATCTGGATGGCTTCATGTAAAGACCTTTGATGGTAGCCAGAGGGTTTGCAGAGCACCTTGGTCTCGGAAAAAAACAATATCACGAGAGCCCACAGCGTTGTAGCAATGATCGGCAACGGCGGAAGACTCAATTTTGCCGTGTTTCAGATCTGACTTGTGCTCGCGGACACGATCAGAGACATGACGTTTTGTTTCCCCAATGTAACAATCACCACAGCTGCAACTCAGTTTATAGACTCCAGGGTATTGCAAGTCAGGGATGACATCCTTCACAGATAGAATTAGATCACGGATTTTATGTACTGTACTGAATCGGACTTGGATCGTATGTTTGTTTAGAATTTTGGAGATCTTATTGGTCACGCCTGCTATGTATGGCAACGTGATAGTTTTGATCGGAGTTTCAAAAAACTACCAAAGATTTGTCCATGAAGCCATCCAGATATACAAACATAGACATAACTTCAACCGAGAGGATGGATTCAAATTGAGCAATCATTGGAGAGATGTAATTAACCAAGTTAAACTTTAGTTACCATGCAGTTTACTGCTAGACAGCCAGTTTAGATTTATTTTCATAAACATAGCCATATTCCCAGTCTGTTACCCCCAGCTTCACACACTACCATCACCATACGTTGTTTATTAGCTTTTAACATTTCAGTTTGAACTCAATATGTTGTTAGCCTGCGCATTTCTAATTTACCCCCCCCCCCCCCAGCATAACAAAAGGGGGCTTAATCCTAGCTTGCTTATCTACTTCCGCCATCTACATCACAAAGCTCCAGTTTCAGCTCCAGTTGTTGCCTCCCAGCGCACCCCAGGTGTTAAAAAACGTTACCCTCCCAGCCCACACCCCACCCGCACACTCACCATGGCCCCTCCCTAGATCCCCCGCAACTATATAACTCCTCGTCACAGCCATCTGAGACACTTAAGCGGTTGCGCTTTCGCTATGTTGTCCCCACCTGAAGGAGGATGCTTGTGTTACGCCCGAAACGTCGTGATTTAATTTAGCGGTTTTATTCTTTTAATTTTTACCTACGTGACTTTACCGAAAAAACCAAAGAGTATTTTTTATACTGGCAAAAAGGTATCCCATAGAAATAACTGCTCGACCCGAGCTATAAGCGCTCCGAAACTTGCATTGTCTTTGTACTGTTTGCCTTTTGGCGCTTTCTGGTCAAACACTGGTGGTGAGACAAGGCCATACAAGTAAACCCGTAAAAACTAAGTTTTTCACTCTAAATCCTTTATATGCGTGGCGGCTAGAGTCCTCTCGTCCTCTGGCTTGAGATGGCTGCAATCTATGGGTCAGATGATTGTCTGCCAGTATTAAGCAATTGGTAATTAAATATTTAATTTGTTTTCCCTAAACAGTGTAAAATTTTGAAAAAAAAATTCACGAAAATTAATTGTCACACACAACGAGTCTGTGTGGAAAATGTCAGTTCGATTGGATCACGGGAAGTGGGTTAAAAAACGAGCGAAAAATTTGCACGGTCCTAAGCAAGCAAGCGAACTTAATATAAAGGATTTAAAATATATTCGTCTGTGGAGGACGCGGGGATCGATCCCGCGACCTTTGGCATGGGAAGCGAGGGCGCTACCAACTGCGCTACTCCGCCACGGCCTGTGGAGGGGTTACGCTCTGGGCTCCTATACTGTGACGTTCAGCCAAAGCCATGAATGAGTTCTATTTGAATAAATGTAAAATATTTTTTTTTGCCTAAAAAGTGTAACATTTTTTTATTTTTTTTTCACGAACATTAATTGTCTGTCACAACGAGTCTGTGTGGAAAATGTCAGCTCGATTGGATCACGGGAAGTGGGTTAAAAAACGACTGAAAGATTTGCACGGTCGTAAGCAAGCAAGCAAGCACGCAAGCAAGCAAGCAAGCGAACTTAATATAAAGGATTTAAATAAGTATAACCCGTAAAAACAAAGTTTTTCACTCTAAATCCTTTATATGCGTGGTGGCTAGAGTCCTCTCGTCCTCTGGCTTGAGATGGCTGCCACCTATGGGTCAGATGATTGTCTGCAGTATTAAACAATTGGTAATTAAATATTTAATTTGTTTTCCCTAAACAGTGTAAAATTTTGAAAAAAAAATTTCACGAACATTAATTGTCTCGCACAACGAGTCTGTATGCAAAATGTCAGCTCGATTGGATCACGGGAAGTGGGTTAAAAAACGACCGAAAGGTTTGCACGGTCGTAAGCAAGCAAGCAAGCACGCAAGCAAGCAAGCGAACTTAATATAAAGGATTTAAAAAGGGTGTCTCTGGTGCAGTCCAATCAGTTTCAAAGACAATGCGTATATTATTCTCAGAGCATGTTTGTTTGCATTTTTGCCACAAGAACGTTTGGTTAATACAGACTTGATGCCTTACAAAATGTAGGCACATTTGATGTTTCAACATCTGACTACCTCCTGTTTTATTGACATTATTAATGTTGAACTTTTGGAACCGTACGTAGCGAACCGTGATAATTGGAGGTACAGGAGAAAGACAACAAACTAAACACAAAAAGCAGTTCTAAAGAAATTAGTTTTCAATTTAGAATGAAAAGTGCATAGTTCCACTGGCTTCATAATATCGGAAGTAAGAGCGTTCAAGATGGCCACAGTAACGCATTTGAAGTAACATTATTATTAATTACCAGTGAGGGGCTGCTTCCCCTCCTAAACAAAAAAATATAAAAAAAGTTACTTTACCAGGTAAAGCCCACCGAGCAATATAGCTCTTTTTCAGAAGCGACCTGGCCACAAATGATAGTTCAACGAAGTGGCTGATCTCATGGAAATGTATAGCAGCAGCCAAATACTCTAAATAATTGATGTTGATAGCAAATGTGGAGGGAAAAACTGGAAGACCCGGAGAAAAAATCCACGCAGCCACAAGGAGAGAGACACGCAAACGCCAATTACACAACAGGCATCGTCAGGGTCACGACCAAACCCACGACGACCTCCTGCACTACAGGCGAGGGAGATAACATCTCGCCACCGTGGTACCCTGATGCGTGAGGGGGAGTCCACCTGCCAGACTGACAGACTCACCTCCAGATATGCCTGGGGACAGGCAACGGTCGAGCGATGCAGACGATGGCGCTGCAGCAGCGCACACTGCTCCTCCCTTCTTGGACCATGTCGCTATGGGGGGGTCCGCGTGCTTCAAACCCTGCACAACAAAACAGGCAGGAACTCGTTCATCGGAACATCGACAAGGCCGAGACAAACCCCAAAGCTACGGACCACATCGTAAAAACCGCTATCGACTGCGCTCTTTCAACGGGGAGGGTGAAGGAATAGCAGAGCCGCACCAACTCTCTCCTGGAGCCCTCTCGTGGTAAGCAAACGGTGTTGGCATTTAGGTCTTAAACACATTACCATGCACAAGAACATAAGCGACCTAGTACTCTCAATAACAGAATCAAAATATTTATTTCTACTGTAGGAGGAATCCAATGAGCTATAAAGCTGTTTGTGACAGATGTCCAGTAGGAGCACAGGGTAAGAATGTTACAACAAAACAGATGATAGTAGTGCAAAGTACAAGCTAAACAAATCACCCAAACACATAGAAATTAAACCACCTACATCCTACCAAGAAAATCCCAGAGGTATTAACTTATTTTTCAGAAGTGACCTGGCCCACAACTGATAGCTCAACAAAGTGGCCCGTCATTTGGACATTTATAGCACCAAAATAATTTAAATCATCTCAATGCATGTGTTGACAATTCAACAGTGCTGGATTTCACAATTCCACGATTACCATGTGACCCCCATGGAACCAATAACAGGTATAGTTGCACGTCCAAAACAACTTGTCGTTTGCATTTCTTGTTTTTATCGTTTCTTGATGCTTGCTTTGCGAAATTGGCATGTGCAGATCTTTTGTAAATCATAAAAAGATGCATTATTTTACATCTCATTCAGATGATCTCATTTGTATTGTCTGCCCCAACTGTTCTATCTCGCTTCTTCCGATGTTTACTTCAAAAGCCAAATGGTGACAATTGCATTCTTCATGTATAAGGGAACACATAGCCTCCATAAATGACGCACTAACAAGACTACACAGATGCATGAGTGCAGGAATTGGTTTTAAATCGAACCGTTCACCGCCCAGTGTCAAAGAGCATCACTACCCCTCCATAGTGTTTGCTAATTGACCTGCAGGTTCAGGGTGAGCTTTAGGCCAGGCCTGATTGGCCCCTTTTCTGCGTGGCCTCTGGCTGTGGCACAGCTGCCGTGAGCCTGCTGCTGCTGCTGCTGCTGCAGATGCTGCTTCATCGACGAAAGAGGCACGGCGCCTACTGGAGACCGGTCTGACCCAGCAGCCGCACTCATGCTTTTGCCATACTCCAGGAGCCTGGCAACAACAGAGGGGGAAGAGAAGTTACCCACCACATTAGCGTACGTTTAGGTAAAGTGAGGCGGAAATGGTGAATTTGACGGGTATCCGGAAAATTCCTCCATGGCAGGGCATGAGAAGAGGGGCAAGCAGCACCACATAGTGTGGGACCCATGGTGCATGATGGAATATAACAGAAAGTGTTCAGAAATCTTTCAAGAGGGGCTGTTCTCTCCAACACGGGTTTAAAGCGCTGCTGCTTTCCGCGCAAGTTCTCAGACGCAAGTCAACGTCGCGTGACGTCAACGCCTGCAGCATTAGGGATGGTGAAAAAAGAGAAAATAATAACAATGACTGATGGAACAAGAGTTTGAAAAACCGTCTTCGAAGAAGCAGGCTTACCTTGTGGGGAACAAAATCGTGCCGAGTTCCTTAATGTGGCCCATCAGCTGTGTCGGGTCCAGGTCACACCTGCACATGAGCACACGGCTTTAACTCCCCATTCCACATCTGCACACTGCTCATAAACACCACCGTTGGACACTTGGATCATAAAATGTTTTTTTTTATCCATGCCATCAGGTATTATTAAACGGTATTACTTAAAGTATTATTAAATTCTTTGTTTAAATAATCAGGACAAGGATGCATTTCAACACGTGATGGTTACCCATTTGGTCCATCAGCCGATGACGCCTACTGGACCCACCGCTTTCCAGAGGCGTTTGTTTAATCAGGCCGAGCTCTGGACGGGTTTAGACCGAGCCTCATTGGCACAAAGTAGTCCTCATAAAGGCCGTGTGGTGACAGTGGAGAGCCAGCCGTTAAAATCGGGGGACCAATTCAACGCAGCACGGCAACAAAACCCAGGTTTGGAATACACCTGCGTGATGGACTGTGGGTAAATAAATAACAAGACGTTCATACGAGTGCTTTTTCACCATGAAAAAAAAATCTTTAAAAATAATTTTGGCCCATCAGCCATGTCTGTAGCATCGCAGACTCAGGCACTGAGAGTCCGGGGTAAACAAGTGTCTGGAAGAAGAGCAAAGGGTGTAGACCGGTAATGGGCAACTTAGTGGGGCTATGTGAGCGGTCCTCCTGCACCAGCGTTGATATACGGTGCTTTTTTCTGGAAGATTTTACTGATTTTTCCTGGATGTTCCTGTTGTGCGTCGTCGCTTTAAGATGTTCTTTGTTCATGTTTTTGTTGCGGTTGTACCCGAGTCAAGAGCCTCATGGCTCACAGGGCTATACCTAATGAAACTGAAACCTTAGTGGGCCGCAGACTTGACATGGTACTTTGTGCACTCCTCACGACCCTATGAATCGCCCGAGAGACACTTAGAGCAAGGCGACCTTCGAGGGGGCTCAACGGGCTGCAGGTTGCCCACTGCCGATACAGACGCAGCGTGGAGTGGGGAGCAGTCGCCATGGGGCTGGGCACAACACCAATATCCCCCTTGATAGGGGGCTCGACACAACACCAATATCCCCCCTGATAGGGGGCTGGGCACAACACCAATATCCCCTTTGATAGGGGGCTGGGCACAACACCAATATCCCCCTTGATAGGGGGCTCGACACAACACCAATATCCCCCCTGATAGGGGGCTCGACACAACACCAATATCCCCCTTGATAGGGGGCTCGACACAACACCAATATCCCCCCTGATAGGGGGCTCGACACAACACCAATATCCCCCTGATAGGGGGCTCGACACAACACCAATATCCCCCTTGATAGGGGGCTCGACACAACACCAATATCCCCCTTGATAGGGGGCTCGACACAACACCAATATCCCCCTTGATAGGGGGCTCGACACAACACCAATATCCCCCTTGATAGGGGGCTCGACACAACACCAATATCCCCCCTGATAGGGGGCTCGACACAACACCAATATCCCCCCTGATAGGGGGCTCGACACAACACCAATATCCCCCTGATAGGGGGCTCGACACAACACCAATATCCCCCTTGATAGGGGGCTCGACACAACACCAATATCCCCCCTGATAGGGGGCTCGACACAACACCAATATCCCCCTGATAGGGGGCTCGACACAACACCAATATCCCCCCTGATAGGGGGCTCGACACAACACCAATATCCCCCTTGATAGGGGGCTCGACACAACACCAATATCCCCCTTGATAGGGGGATGGGCACAACGCCGATATCTCCCCTCACTACGGGCAGGAGAGAGGCAGGCAGGCAGAAGCGTGGCGACTGGAGAAATGCTTTGAGTGAGAAATCAAGGGGTAAATGTTCACCGTAGCTTTGAATCATGCGTGAGGTAACACAACCAAATAGTTGCCTCATCAAAGCAATTGCAATGAGTGGTCTCCAACACGGTAAGTAACTTTGTATGTTCATTTCAAATGAAGCTTGGTACAGCCAGTCTCCGTCTCCTTATTACGGACTCCACCTTCGGGTGGCTACGCTGCCCCACGCCACGTGGCGCTCACCGCTCTCTGACACCGCTGGCTGACGGTGCGCCAGGGAGCAACTGAGCGGCTGGAGGACGAGCCTCCACGTGGTCGATGGAGATGGCGGGGCAGCAGCAACGGGGCTCCTCTTCAGACTTCGGACACCGACCCTTCGCGTTGCTCGGGGTCCCCGCTGAAATCCCCCTCCCCGGGGCTCAGCCTCGCCTCTCACCACGCCCCTCCTGGAACCTTCCCAAATGTCCCAGAGGCTTCCCTGGTGGACCCGCCTCTTACCTTTCACCTAGGTAGAAACCCCACTATCGATAAGCCTGGGCTGTAAGGTAATTGTATGCCCCCCTGATAATCCAGGCAATGGTGCTCTCATTCCACAATTATAGAAGAAGAAAAATTCTGATACTGGCATGAAGGTGTATGAAGAGAATTATAGAAATGTGATGACAGACTTAAAAAAACTTGAAAATTGGGAATATTATTAATCGAAGTATCTGAGCTAAAGAGAGAGGTTGCAATAGGCACAACAAAACGTATGCTGGATAGGGGTGGGGGGGCAAGCAGTGGACCTAGACAGGACATGGAGCAACACCCAGAGGTGTTGGTTATCAGACTAGGAACGCAGCAAGGTGAGGTGTTGACACTGGAACAAAATACACAGGAGCCAGCAATAGGAAACACAGGTGAGGTTACTGTGGTGTAACATTGACTATGACCTTTTGACCTCGGAAGCGTGCGTGAAGGTAAGTCCCCGCACACTCAATGGTCGCATTGCGAGCAGCCGCATCTTAAAAGCTGTACTCACTGCAGCTCCAGCGAGTCCTCCAGCAATATGGAACACAGCTCCGGGACATCCATCGTCAGGAGCTGGTCTACCACCTGCACGGAACACGTTGACACGATACCAATCACAGTGAAGATGCAAACTACCAGTTATTCACCATCGTAGTGGCCGGCACAGACATGTTTATTGCAACCGAATGCGCGCAGAAAATTAATACGTCCGTGCCTTCTGCACGTCCCGCATACAGAACTGCTGGCCCCGAGCCATTCTGCAGGCAGTGTCGAGGGTGACGCAGTTCGACAAGAGCGACTCGTGAAGAACGCTCGTTCCTCTCGTCAGTATGGGGTGGAGCAGAACCTCCATGTCCTTCAGTTTAAAAACCAGCTCTGCACCCCTGCACAAGACAAAGAAAAGCAATTGGCAAGTCATGGTTTTGGCCAGCGCTGCAGCAAAGAACACCGCCTCCGCATAATTGCGTTCGGGTGAACACGCGGCTAAAACGTGCGATGACACGAGGTGGTGCGCACACTCGCGCAGCACAGAAAGAAAACAAATTTATTCCAATATTCTTTGGGTCTGAAAAAATATAACTCGCCCTCTATATTTTTTCACCCGATGACGATTTTTTGTGTTGCAATCGAAACGTCGTGATTTTTTTTTCTATGTGGCTTTACCGAAAGACCCAAAGAATATGAATTCCTGCAGTCATGAAAGCTTTAAGTCAAAATTTATTCCAGGCACCCTTATTGGTAGCAGCAGACTTGGCACGCATGCCAGCTGGTAAGCGGAACGCTTCAACTCAGGAGCATGTGTGCGCAGTGCAACTTTGCATTCCCAGTCTCGAGCAATGCGTGAACGCGATTGTGGAGTGGATCTCATTGCCACCATCTCCCGACGCCCGTTCTACTCCAGCGAGAAATGCTTTAGTGGAAGCACAACCTCTGATGTGCCACCTTATCGTTGTCGCTCCTTGTGCGCGCATCACATTCACTCGGCGAGACCGTCAGTGTGCGTCTCCCGGGATCAGGGCCCAGTGGCGTGGGGCCCCCTCAGCCTGGAGTCAGAGCATCGCTACTTGCAGGGAACCGTCGCTGGCATCATCCGTGCTGTTGACCGTTCTTACTAGCGTAGTGATTCAGCCACAACCGAAAAAACTCACCCCGACGTTATAGACACGGTGTGCATGACATGAATAATCAGGAAGTAAAACAAGCCCCTACGATTGGTGCTTAAAGAGCCTGAAAGCGGAGTGATTAGAGGCAGGGAATTGAAGCTTTGGAGGTGAAATATAACATGGAATAGAGCAGGAAACGGAGGATGATCGACAGTCGGAATCCGTGAGGAAAAGTGGAAGGTAATTGGCTGGAGGGATCAAGGAACCTTCGGGAAATGGGCTTGAGAGATATATAAAGAGGAAGCGAGAGAGTTGGCGACGTTGGGAGTGAAGGGAATCCTTAAAAACCCACGTGTCTCCTGCTGGAAGAAATCAAGACTCCTATTATAGAATACTGCTGTCGGGTGTCACTACACAAGTCTAGCGGCTCTATAAATGCCTCTTCCACTCTGCCTACAGATGACTACCTTTTTTCACTCCACAAAATAAACACGCCCCACCAGTTTGTAAGCAGCCTCTCCGAGGTGCGGTAGAATATCGATGCAACGTTGTATGAATCCACAGTTATTTGTTATTGTATTATAAATCAACCACCTACAAACCAAGTCTGAGGATCCAACAGTGGCTCAGGAACCATTATTGGCCAAGGCTAGTGTGTATGTGTGTTAATACAAACATGGGCAGAAATAGAGTGAATTTTTTTTATCTGGTGCAAAATACAATGTGAAACTCGAAGTCAGTGAGGTCAACTTTATTTTCTCTGCTCTGAAGGCCACCGCCAAAAAGTACTATCAATATATTTTGCTGCTTGTAAGGCTGAGCTATCAACCAACGCTGCAAAAATGCATTTTGATGTACAACTAAACCAAAAACTAATAAAGAAGCGTTAAAACAATTCCCACAACCAATTTAATTTTTTTTTAAAGTTGCATCGGTAACAACAAGAAACATCGAGAGGATAAAATCCAGGTAGAAGTACAATTCAGGATTGTTGCGAGGATTTATCTTCCACTTACTGCTGAGGTGGAGCAATAAGTATGGGCGGTCAACCGCTTGTACGTGTTGACGAGTTCATTTATTTGGCAGTACTGGGGGCAGTAGAGGATTTCAATGTCACTGATTTGGTCAGATGCTTGGTAACGTGGCCCAAACCAAAAAAATATTCTGAATTTAAATATTGGGTTTGAAAACGTACGTCTTACATAATAAGTAAATAGTAAAATGCAATTGATCTGCATCACGTAACTATAGGTAGCATACGTTTGTTTTATTCTCATTACTCTTTGGTTATTTCGGTAAAGTCACGGCGTTTCGATCGCAACACAAGCAATCGTCATCAGGTGGGGACAACCACAGCAAGAAAAAACTGCTGAAGTAGGCAAGAGATCTGCCGTGGCACGAGGTTATATAGACCTCGGCAGTAGGGGGGGGAGAGAGAAGGGGGGGGGAGGAGGCGGGGCAGAAAGTGGACCCCGCAGCAGCACCCGGGTCACTGGAGTAGAGATCGGAGAAAGATGCACAGAGAGAGAGAAAGACACAGTCGGAAATAACAGCTGACATAGGCAGGTAGGTTGGAAACAGTCAGTTAGTACTTTACCTGGTTTATAACATCCTTCCAATGATTGCTCAGTTTGTACCCATCTTCTCGGTTGAAGCTGTGTGTTTATATATCTGGATGGCTTCATGAAAAAATCTCTGATAGATTTGAAGTTTTCGTGACTGCAGGAATTAAATCATGACGTTTCGATTGCAACACAAGCAATCATCAGGTGGGAAAACCACAGCAAGAATTGTTTTTATTTCCACTTCAGCAAAAACATTTCTTGCTGTGGTTTTCCCACCTGATGATTGCTTGTGTTGCAATCGAAACGTCGTGATTTTATACCTATGTGACTTTACCGAAAGAACCAAAGAGTATAAATCTCTGATAATAGCCGGCGGGTTTGCAGAGTACATTCGTCTTGAAAAAGTCAATTTCGTGTGAGCCCACTGCGTTAAAACAATGATCAGCAACGGCAGAGGTATTGGTCCTACCATGTTTCAGATCTGCCTTGTGTTCGCGAACGCGGTCCGAGACATGTCGTTTCGTTTCCCCAATGTAACTGCTGCCGCAACCACAACTCAGTTTGTAGACACCCGGGTATTGCATATCAGGAATCACGTCTTTTACAGATGGGATCAAATCACGGATTTTGTGTACTATGTTGAAACGAACCTGGATATTGTGTTCGTTTAAAATTTTGGAAATATTTTCGGTGGCCCCTGCTATGTATGGCCAAGTGATGGTATTGGTTAGATCCTCAGATGGTTGTCTCCCCATGGCTGGAGAGACAGGATTGCGGATTGTATGGTCAGAATATCCGTTCATCCTGAGGGCATGGTGTACGTGCTCCAGCTCACTGGCTAGTTGATGATGGTTGCCCTATGGTGTAGTGTTTTGATGAAGGAATTCTTCTGGGTTGGATGGTGGTGGGAGTCAGGCATCCGTGTGGGTGGCTTTCCTGTAGACAGTGTCCCAACGAGCCATCAGGTCTCTTCTCGATCAAAACATCCAGGAATGGTAGCTTGCCATCCTTTTCCATTTCCATGGTGAATTTGATAGATGGGTGTATGGAATTGATATACTTTTTGGTTCTTTCGGTAAAGTCACGTAGGTATAAAATAAAATAAATCACAACGTTTCGGGCGCAACACAAGCATCCATCATCAGGTGGTAAAGCATAGTCTGCTGCTGAGGCAGACTTTTAAAGAGGTTTGAAATGGGTGTAGCTCAAGGGTTATAAAGTGGCCGGGGCTAGTGATGTTAACGTGAGAAATTAGCATGTAACTGTAAGATAGAAGAGCGGCCTCCTAAACGAGGGCACGGAAGTGGCTATGTTAATGTGAGGGATTAGCATGGTTGAGAAATTGGTTCAGTGCTGGCAGGCCATATGGCCAAATGACGAACGTGTTATCTACGTATCTCTTCCACAAGGAAGGACGTAGGGTGGATTGTCTGGGATGGCATCCGTCTCAAATTTCTGCATGAAAACATTCGCTACCACTGGCGAAAAGGGAGAACACATTGGGGTACCCTCATTTTGTTTGTAGAATGTACCATTCCAGGTGAAGCAAGTGTTGGCAAGGCAGTGTCTTACCAAAGTTGGTACATCTGGATTCAGTCCCTGTTGGACCAATCTTCAATGATTGAAATGGTATCAGGTACAGGTACCTTGGTGAACAGGGAGACTACATTGAAACTGAGAAGTAAATAATCTGGATACAGTGAGATGTCCTTGATTAGAAAAACCAAGTGAGCTGAATTAAGTACAGCTGAGGTGGTCTTGCCCGTGAAAGGAAGCAGGGTCTCAGACAGAAATCGGGCCAGTTTGTAGGTGGGTGAGTTAATGGTGGAGACGATAGGATGGAGCGGAGTACCTTTTTTGTAGATCTTTGGAAGGCCATAAAATCTGGGTGGTCTAGCAGCCGAAGGTTTTAGAGAGTGCTGCTTGTTCGAATCGATAAGAGAAGTCGAATTGGTGATATTGTTGGTTTTCGTAGCCAAGCGGTTGGTGGGATCTCTGTGGATTTTGGTATAGCTGCCATCATTAAGAAGGTCCTGAATTTTGTAGTTGTAAGTGGTTTTGTCCATGATGACAGTGGTATTGCCCTTGTCGGCTGAGAGGATGACTACATCAACTCTGGTTTTTAATTGAGAGTTTAAAACGCCCGTCCTTGCTGATGTTGCTAATGGAGTTCTTAGCGTTTGAGGATAGCAGCGATTTCAGATCTAGTAACGTCTGCCGGGATGTGTCCCAAGCCTTTGAGGGCTACGTCGACCTGGGCAATGATATCATCCACTGGGATGTGTTTAGGTGTGACTGCGAAATTCAACCCTTCAAGCTAGTACATATTTTAGGCTGTCGTAAATTGGGATGTTACTATGATTGATGACAATCTTGTTAACATCTAACTTTTTAGCGTGTGGCTCTGGATTCATGCTATCTACATGGTCCCAATCAGAAGTGGACATTTTATCTGTTAATTCTAAGTGTTATCGTAAGATAATCTTGTCTAAATTATCAAGTTAAAATCAGAGCAATCTTATTCTCTCTGAGATTAGAGCTAGACTAGCTCTAAACAAGATCCGTTTAGAGTTAGGAGAAGTGACAGCAGTAGATGTGAGTGTAAAGGCGATCGGTATTACCTTGGTGTCGCGGCATCTCTTCAGAAAGGTGAGAGACTTGATCAGGTGAGCCTTCTTGTCTCGCAGTCTGTTAAAAGATCTAATAGTTGTGTGGAAACCCTTCCCGTAGAGGCGATTCAATCTTGATTTGAAGCATTCGTGACTACAGTAATCCATACTCTTTGATTCTTTCGGTAAAGCCACGTAGGTCGAAAATAGATCACGACGTTTCGATTGCAACACAAGCAATCGTCATGAGGTGGGACAACCACAGCGAGAAAAAACAGCTGAAATAGGCGAGAGATCTGCCGTGGCACGAGGTTATATAGACCTCGGTAGCAGGAGGGGAGAGAAAAGGGGGGGGGAGGAGGCGGGGCAGAAAGTGGACCCCGCAGCAGCACCAGGGTCACTGGAGTAAAGTGGGCCACCGCGGCAGCACTGGAGAGGTCGGCTGCAGGGGGGGAGAGAGAAGGGGGAGGGAGGAAGCAGGGCAGAAAGTGGACCCCGCAGCAGCCCCGGGTCACTGGAGTAAAGTTTAGAATGTTTTATTCTTATGTTTGTGCATTAATGCGATGGCACGGAGTGTACAAGTGTGCACGTGGAATGTGGAACTCACCGGGCCTGCACCATGGAGCACAGCGAGTGGATGCTCCCATGGATGCTGCACACCACTGTGTGAAGCTGCAGCTGCAGCTCAGACTGCAGCTTCTCAAACTCCTGTCGGGGAAGCCACAATTACACCAGCCATTTTCATAGCCAAAGACACCTTCAGCTCGGGTGATACACCAGGACGATCAACGTTTGGATAAAAGCCATGATAGCAGTGCCTGACAATGCACCACACTTAAAGGCGTGCAATTCAGCCTTTTCACACACATCAATTAAAACCCATTTCCGCACTTTAATCATCTACACCATTAAATCCGCACAAAATAATGAGATCGTTGCTGCATCAAATTTTTAAAATGCTCTGTTACTTTACAATGGGTTCGTGCAAACGTTTAGATATAGATCGAGTGTTCTGATTAGTCGTGGCCAGCCAAAGGTAATTTGTCACTTTAAAAAACACAAGCAGAGTATTCCATCTCAAAAACGACTGCTGGGCAGTAAACCAGCTGTGGATAGATCACGGTTGTTGAGAACGATGACGACAATGACAATGAGGACAATGACTTTGATGACGGCGACAACGACGATGATGACAACGATGAAGACGATGACAACAACGAGAACAATAACGACGATGACGAGGATAACGAGGACGACAACAACGATGAGGACAATGCCTGAGGATGACACCAATGAGGATGATGACGACAACGGTGAGGACGATAACGACAATGACCATGATACAGCATCGCTGCAGCCAGCGACCACTCACTCGCAGCGCCTCCTTCAGTTTTAAGACCCTCGCCTGGCCCGCCACGATGGCCTTGGGAAGCTGCATGCTCAGCTCTTCCTTCTGCAATTGGCAGCAATGACACGGTCGTCTTTGGAAACGTGGCTCAAGGTGTGAGAAACGCGTTTTCAGGAATATGTTGCGATTAAAGATTGCACTTAGGTTAATCCATGTACTTTATTACATGAGAGGGTTTTTTGGGTTAGATCACGCAAATAAAAAGACGTCGTTTAACCCGTCACCACCCGACACACCCAATTAGTTATTATGGATAATATTGGTGGCGAAAGCCTACGTGTTATACTTTAATACAATTTAGATTATGATAATGCGGGCTTTTTCTTTCTATTTTAATGTTTTGCCCACATTCGTACATTTTTGTCTTCATATTTTAATGCCAATATTGCTAAAATTAACAAAAGCACCAGATGAGCGACATTACATCCACGTGATGCACTTAATTGACCTCGCGATCGACGTCTCAAACGCAGGCGAACGTCGGTGGTGGTTCACCTTGGCATCGAGCAGAGTATGGTCGTGGTCGCTGTGCTTAGAGTCCACGATGCAATCGGCACACGCGACGCCGCTGCCACCGCCACCACAGTCACCAAGCTCGCAGCAGTATGCGTACAGCTTACCGTGCACCTCACAATTCTCACTGTGGAAATAGCCACGTCAAAAATCGATCAACACTGTCAACCTTAAAATGCTGCACTAAAACACTCTTTATTGCGAATAAATAATCCGTCATTGTTTTTAGTTTTTTTTGGCTGCCAGAAATATAAACAGCCATAGATAACAAGCATTTGCATCGACGCACAGATCACGAACAGGTCACGTTCCCACCGGCACGCGGCCAATAAGTGGAGACGAAGGGACAAGCCGGAGCAATGAGCCAGCAATCACAAGATCTTCCGTTCCAAGTTTTCTTTATCCAGCTTTTAAAAACTATAATTAGTAAAAATGTCACATTGTCCACGAAAAACACGGCCGTGCCTCTTTTGAAGGGGGCAGCTAAAAGTGTCGAGCACGTCGCGACCACGACTGAGGTGCTCCAAGAAGTACAGTGGATTCTTGATTACCGCGTGCAGTTTATCCAATTTGTGGATTAAACGCGCACACTTGAGATTTTGACATAAATTAATAACTTGCACATTTTCCCTTACGCCCAAATTAATAATCTAAAAACGCTTCTGAAAAATAACGTATAGCTCAGAGGGGCCTTAAAAAAAAAGTTTCAATCGTTAGTTTCAAATGCTTCATGGGTGCGACCGCTGCAATCGGATAACACCCAGGGCCCTGGTGGAGTCAAGAGCAACCATCACCCAAGAGCGGACCTCAAAGCCCTTTCTAGGAGCCGTCCATTTAGTATGGATGCTTGGATGGCCCCATATGAAACACTGAAAAAGTGTCCAACGTGCCACTGCCCAACCCCTACATTACATGACGATAGTAGGCTCTCGATTATCCGCGATAATGGCGGGGAAGACGGCTGCAGATAATTAAATAAATCGCGCATAATAAAAAAAAAAAAAAATCAATTTTCCACGGATCTCTATGCCAAAAAAACACTGATTTGGGTATTAACTAAATTCAAACTCATGAAATAAATGATGGGATAAATCACTCAAAAGAACCACAACTGATGATTTTGATTGTTACCGTTTATATTTAGAATGAATACTAACAATCAACTGATCAATGATGCGCGTGCTCAATGATAACACTTTCCTGCTCCAGCACAGAAGACTCGGCCCACTAAGTAGACAGCAGCAGCGCCTCGCCAATCAACATCAATCAAACTCCACCCAATGTTGTAAAGATCTCCAACTACTGTACTGTAGAGGCGATCACGTAGATTTCGGATTAACCAGAGCACATATTTGTTCGGTTAAGCACATGCCTTGTATTAAACATTTACAAGAATAACAAGGTACAAGAGTTTTTTGGTTAAAATTTGTGCTAAAGGAAAAAATCTATGCATTATTATTTTATATCAAAATCTCAGGTGCACGGTTAATCTTCAAATCAGATACACCGCTTGTGAATAATCGAGGGTCTACTGTGTTTAGGTATGCAAGTTTTTAAGTTTTGGTGTGAGATTTAAGGGGTTAAGGTTATAGCGTTCAAGGCAAGGAAGGGGTAGGGAACCCGACAGCCCCGCAAGTTCACTTTCTATGGGAATGTGGCCACATGACGACTGCCGTGAAGTATCAGGGTGTCAATCACTGCAAAACATTTTAGCTGCAGCAATTTAAAATGTGTTTTATTTTATTTAACCAGGTAGGGCCCACTGGGCTATGCAGCTCTTTTACACTTTAGATACGCGACGTTGATTCTAAATGTGGAAGGAAAAACCGGAAGACCCAGAGAAAAATCCACGTGATCACGGGGAGAACATGCAAACTCCAAATATGAAGGCGTCAGGATCGAACCCACAACCTCCTGTATATCAGGCGAGGTAGTTAACATCTCCTAGCCACCACTTACCAGTCACTGGGATCAATTTTGTTCGCTTTGTGGTTTTTCAGCACTTTCGCATTTTCGTGAACCTGAAACGGATCACACGCGCGTGCACAAACCCAATACTATACTAGCAGACCAGCCTTCACATCGTCACTCTCTATGCAGGTACACAAGTGCCACACACAGGCTACACGGGTAAACAAAAGTAGCCACCCAATCTGAAGGACTTGGCTTCCCAACAAAATCAGTTCCTAATACAGATACACAGTAACAAAGGCAAAATTCCCCCGTGTAGCCTCAACACTGTTGGGGCAAGTGCTATTGTAGCAAGCGCCTATGAAGGCAAGCACAGCACACGAAGGGGGTGGGTGGCCAGCACCATGCCCGACCACCTTTGTCTCCCGAGTGGTGATGTTTACACACCGCACTGGGTACTCATTTGAGGCTGAATAGACCTAGGGGAGGCCCAGGACCGGTTCAGATAATCGTCACTGGTGGTGACCGTGAGTAGAAATCCAACTCAAGTTGCCGGGTACGTAGCGCAGCGCGCTAACCGCCTATGTGGATGCTCCGCACAACACAGGTACACAGTAACACAAACACCACATACATGCAGGTACACACCGTGACTGTCAATTCCTACAAAACATTCACCGCCAATTAAACCTTACTGTTTCATTTTCATTCCCAGTTTTATTAAATTGTTATCAAATAATTTAACTTCATGCAATCTCAGGCTTATGCATGAGCTTGGCAGTCTCGCGCAGTTTCTACTGTGAAGTGAGCCTCCTGCGGCTAAAGCAGAGCCCACGGTGACGAGAGTCCAGAGAGTTTGGCGTCTTGCGACAATGTGGTCTTGTTCACGGAAACGGTGAGAGCTGCAGTTATCAAGTTGAGAAGCGACAAAAGCAAGGATGATTAGGGCTACGTAGCTCTTTTTCAGAAGCGACCTGGCTATCACAAATAATAGTGGAACGAAACGGCTTATCATGTGAAAATGCATAGCAGCAGCCAAATACTGTAGACGTGTGAGGTTGATGGAGGGAAAAACCGGAGAAAAATCCTTGCGACCACGGGGAGAACATGCAAACGAACCAACAACCTTCTGTATATCAGGAGAGGTAGTTTACATTTCCTCCTAACCCTGGTGAGAGCAACTTGGGAAGCCAATGGAAATCGGTCAGAATTAGCGAGCAGAAACATTCTGGTTGACAACGTAGACTTCGGAAATTTACCAAGCGGGAGCAGATCACTTTAAGAACAAACGGCTTAGGACAGACACCTACATACACAACACAATTTTAACTTGTACAGCATCTAAATATGCTGCCACAAGTTTAACACATCCTAGGAGGCTTTTACAACCAATATTATCCTTGAGGATTTTTCTAGGCTTAGATTGCATGAATATAAACGTTTCGTTAAACTCGCCACCACTCGCTAATGAGGCTGGTTGTTGTAATTACCGGTGAAACGTCACGGTACTCGACTCGTAAATGTTGTAGTGGGTTTACTCTCCAACACAAAACCGGTGTGCTGAACTAGTAACTAATTGGCACGTTTTGTTTACGTGACAAACCTTACTAATTGGCTGTCGCGTGGTGGTGGCGGGTTTAACGACATTTACAATTCGAGTAACCATAACGTTTTCGCCAGTAATTACAACCAGCCTCATCAGGCGACAGAAAACTTTGGCTGTTTCTCGTCTGTGAAGGTGGTCCGATTTTCAACAAGCCTTGTGCAATGTTTGCCACAATTGAATAAAATACAAAAACAGTGGATGGCACCTTGTACTGTATTCCATCGGGATGTCACGTGTGCCTTCACAATATTTTGATTGTTGTACAAGTAGTGGCCAGTGTTTGTTTTAAAAGTGTGTATGATGCTCTTTAGAAGTGAGAGAAAATCAGGTTTTTGGATTTGACATGACAAAACATGCGTATGAGGGGGATTTATAGTGCAAATGAGGTGTTAGGCACACTCACTCTGGAGCATTTATACCCAAGTAGATTGCTCCGAGAGGCAATAAGTGCACCCAGTACATTTGATCCATAAGAGGTTTTTTGTTTTTTTCAGATATTGGTAGCAAAAGCCGACGCGAATAAAGCACATTTCATAATTACACAGCGATTACCTTCTTAAAGCAAGAGTCGCAAAAGTCCTCTTGGCAGTGCTTGCAGGACAGGATGGCTTTCTGCCGATCGCATTCTGCACAGCGCCTCTCCTTTCCAGCTGAAACGCAGCCAACAAGAACAACAGCAGCGGCGACAATACAACAGTAGAACATCGATTATCGATTATAATCAATGTTCTACTGTATTGTCAGAGCCTTTTATGAAATTTAGGTTTTTAGAATTATGAGTGAAGCAGCTATGCATGATTTGGTGGGGTTACAATGGTAACCGTACTAGCCATAACAAAATCAAGTAGAGATTGAATTGTTTTGCAAGACAAAATCAGAATAAAACACGTAAAAAAGCTTCCCATGTATTTTTCATTCGACCACATCTATATAGACGTGCATTGACAACTCTGGACGTCAAACGTGGCGACGTGTCACTTCCCTTCCCCCACTACGCGTACTGGTCAGATTCAAGTGGACATCGTCCGGAATCCCACGGGTCTCCATGAGAGCTCCTCCATCCGTGAGCAAGGGCTGGCGCAACTTCCCTTGGCTCCCTCCAAGGTTTTGTTTAGACCTGAGAGGCGTGGGGGTGGGGGCCGGAAACGGCGAGTGGCACAAAGGGAGGAGACGTGGTGGGCGCAACAACTCCAGAGGGTCACGAGCGCGCGTGCGCACAGTACGCCTCTGTATTTTATATATGAGCACATTTATAATAAAAACGTCACTCTGTGCCAGCCACTGCACAGAAACGTTAACATGTACATTGCCACACACTCCGAGATATTCAATTCTCCTTTCACTCAGAATTAATCTCCTCTTGTTGTAGACTTACTTGATATTAACTCGGTTGAAAGTAACAGAAAATATACGAAAACAGAGTAACTGGGTCACTCCCGTCTGCTCAATGACGGTTCTACGCACAAAACAATGGCAGCATTCCTATCCTGATGATTAATTCCCATCCTTTCATATTCCCATCCTGATGATTCCGTGTGATCCAAAACTTCCCAGGCAAATGATAAGGGTTTCGTGACTGCAGGAATTCATATTCTTTGGGTCTTTCGGTAAAGTCGCGTAGATAGGTTCAAAGAAAATCTATCTACGTGACTTTACCGAAAGACACAAAGAATATTAAAATGTTAAGGACTTAGAAGGATCAGATTACACTAGAACCTGAAATTACCACCACTTAGCAAGTGTAAACCACTTTTATTTTTTTTATTAATCTGTAGCGTCGGTACACAAAAATCACCAAGTTTTTAGTGGTTGAATTGTTAAAAGGTTAAATGGCTCAGAAAAAGTGGCATGGCTCTTTCAGAAATCAAAAGAGTCAGGGAGAAAGTGAGGTGTTTTGGGAATACGATAGGTTCTGGAGGATGGGAATGTGGCCCTATTTCTTATGCCACTTGCCACAACATCAAAACATCGACCAGCGACAGCATCTGAAGATGCTGTGCAAGTGAGGAACTATCCTCTTTTCCTTTAGCTCGCAAATCCTCAAGACTTGTTTTTCAGGTGGGTGCTGCTACATCGGGGTCGTTTGGCCAGTTGAACCAGTTTTTTTAATTATTTTTTACCGTGGGACACCACCGCACAAGTAGTTGTATGCGGCCACAACTCCAAGTGAATAGTAATCCAGGGGCAGCTGAGACAAGCCACCGGCTCCAGGAATCCTGGTCACCATCTGCACCACATGGGGTGGGGGGTGGCAATCAGCAGTGCAATACCAGACCAACACCATTATGAAAACAACTTATGAGCGTTCTTTTCTCAACTAATCCGAGATGTGCGCAGCTCTCCCGGCTCTCTCAACTTCTTTTTAAAAAATGTAAACCTCTGACTTGTTTTCAAGCGAGTGCGGTATCTGAGTACGGGATAATGCTCACCACCCTCCCTCTACTGCCAGTTCTTAGCCAATGGTGGAGAAACTCCACAGTCATCCAAAATGGGCCCACATTTAAAGTTAGTGGTTTAATCGGCAGTGGTGTAGTTGACGCAGCTGTCTACAGGAAAATATCAGTATCCGGAATCCATGATATCTGGTTATACTTATGGTTCACAACATTTTACAAGTGCATACAACTTTTAAAGAAAGAAACTAAGCCTACATTTTAACTATGATGTAAGAAATAATATCTGCTTTTTACAGAGGTACTCACCAGTCAGTTGTAGAGCATTCTCTAAGTTTATTGTAGAGAAGCACAGTGTACAGTAGTACAGTACAGTGAGACAACATTGGGTTAAGGCAGCACATGACGCACACCCACTTCACTCAAGAGTCACACTTATAACTACACACTTATAACACCAAAACAAACTTATAACACCACTAAACACATAACGGAATGTAAAACTACACTGTAAATAGTATACAGTGCATTCATGTTTGCATATTGAATTTTGTTTGTTACATGATTTATTGAAGCATTTCCATAAGGTCGGATTTTCATAAGTCGGGTCTTCCGCAACCCGGGGACTGTCTGTACGTGAAGGAAGATTCGCATTGCCGTCTACAACAGATGCTAGCTAGTTAAGAGCATTCCAGATGGTAGTGTGCCAGATAACAACAGATTTTCCTGTATTTTAATACACCTTTACTCTCCAACACACTGGTGTGCTGTACTAGTCCCTAATTGGCATGTTTTGTTTACGTGACACATTTCTATTTACGCCATCTAACCCAAAAACCTCGATTATGGATAATATTTGTCGCGATAGCCTGCTACGTCTTAAACTGATAGCTTGGTAGTTTAACATTACAATGTCAAGCAGTAGACCCTTCTAAAAGTGAGAGCGTACAAAGAGATGGTGTCACCGTTTCTCCCTCTCCGATTGCTTGCCAAATACAAGGAAACTATTGCAAGCATGGTATCAAGTGAATAAAACTCGTCGCTGCGAATCAGACAGACAGACGCAAACGCCATCTTATCTAGTTGACTCGCATCCATCCATTCCGGTCACTTGCCAAAGCTATTTGTCCATTCCCGCAAAACTTAGTTTTCACCGTAAACAAATTAATCTGGATGTATGTAATTGGGGACACACAGAGTTAGTCAGTCTCTTTGGCTCATATTTGCAGGTTGTTTTTTCCACTGCAGAAGTGCCCAGTGACGCCACTGGGGGCTTCACACGAAACTAGCAGAGGCGTACAAAAGACAAAGATCCCCCATTGAGCCTTAAGAAACTGTTTGGGGCAAGTGCTTTTAACAAATAGCATCTATGAATGCCGGTACAGCATATGAGGGGGTGGGTGGGTAACTAACATCACGCTCGGCCGCCTTTGTCTCCCTAGTGGGGTGTTTACACACTGCGCCAGGTACTCATTTGAGGCTGAGTCAACCTAGGGGAGGCCCAGGACCAGTTTAGATAATCGTCACTGGTGTTGGCGTCCGTGAGCGGAAATCGAACTCGGCTCGCCGGGTTCGTAGCGCAGCACACTAACCACTACACTACATTGGTCAACACACTTTTTCTGGCATAAGGTATTCCAACGGTTGTAATGTAATTTTGGGGTGCTGATTCCAAATCTGGCATCAGTTTTTGTCTATCACATCAGATTTTTGAGATATCAAATATTGCATTTTCAATAAAAACGGCGGAATAAAAATATTAAATAAATGTGGATATCTACATAAAATGATATTATAAACACACTATCCTAAAAATACAGCACCATATTTTAACACTAAAGCAGTCACTGACTCGCAACAACTTGCAATCATAAGTGACAGAGTTAATTTTGGGTAAAATCAATGAAAATGGGGTATGCCGATAGCATAAAAATGAGACGTGATAGAGCAAATCTGAGATCAGATTTGGAATCAGCACCCTGAAATTAGTCTAAAACAGCTGCAAAAGTCCAGGCCAGAAAAAAAAAAAATTTTGTAGACCACTGCTATCATACACATGCAGGCAGATGTACACGGACACACCAGTACATACACTCGAACACACGCGTGCACACAACCATACATACGTGGCCGTACAATTGTAATAGCTGTACCTTGCAGGTGGGGCATGCAAACTCGCAGCCTGCGTGTGTGCCTTTGTCCTGCAAGCATGCTCCACAGAAGACGTGTCCGCACACCAGCAGGTAGGGGCGGCTGTTTGGTGCCCCAGGCTCCACTGGGAAACGGATAACTTTAAAATCTCAACAAAGGCATGGACAAAGTGCTACGACAGCACCTGACGTGCAAAGACAGTGTCGGCATTTTCCCATTTTAAAGTGGCGACGCCTCGTCATCATTGCAGATTAAGGGGGTGAAACTCGAGTTTGGAATTACTGTCCTTGCAAGTTTTAAGTTTCAATCAAAGACCTGATTGTTATTCATTCAGGATTTTGTTTGGAATTCAGCTAATAAAGTACAGTAGACTATCTATTATCTGTGCTAATGACGGGGAGGATAGCCGCGGATAATTCAAAATGGCGGGCAATATAAAAAATATAAAATTTCCCCACATCTCCATGCCAAAAAGCACGAATATAGATATAACTTATGTTTAAGTTAAGAAAGATGAGTTTGTTTACGAAATAACAATTTGTAGTAAAGAATCAACCGATCGATGATGCGCGTGCTCAGTGATAACACTTCATTGCTTCCGCACAGATTACTCCGCCCACTAAGTGGACAGCAGCAGAGCCACGCCAATCAACATCATTCAAACTCCACCCACTGTTGTAAAGATATGCAACTACTGTACTTTAGAGACGATCACGTGGATTTCGAATCAACCTGGAGCAACATATTTGTTCGGTTTAAGCACGTGACTTGTAATAAATATATCCAATAATATCAATGGATAACTGTTTTTAAATCATTAATTTGGGCTAAAGGCAAAATCCATGAGTTATTAATTTATGCCAAAATCTTAGGTGCGCAGTTAATCCACAAATCAAGAAAAACCGCACGTGGATAATCGAGGATTAAGGTATGCAAAAGTTTTTCAGTTTTCCTGTGAGGATTCGGGGTTAAGGCTATAGGGTTTAAGGCAAGGAGTGGGGAACCCTACAGAATGCAACTTCACTTCCTATGGCATGTGGCCACATGAGGACTGCTGTAAAGAAAAGGACACACAAATTACGTGTCAACCACTGTAAAACATTATTGGCTGCACCAATTGAACCTTATGGCGGGGACCACGGGGTCCCATAAGCCCCCGGCTCTCGCATAAACTGCGTTGCCAAGTCATTTTAAATCTGTTGAAGGCGAACGATGCGGCACTATTCCTCTCGACGAGCTCGAGACGATGCGCTAATCAAAGTTTAAGTTTTGTTTCTTCTGCGCATTCGTCCTCGCTGCGCTTGGACGACATGACAACAGAATGATCCATGCCAGGTGGGTTGCAGCATTTATGTGCGCGGTCGGACGGTGGGACGAAGTCGCCAAAAATAAATTACGATTTTGATTTCCGTTTATTCAGGACCCCGGGGTCCTGCCATAAGGTTCAATTGGAAAAGAAAAAACTAACGATTTTCATTTTACCAGGTAAGGTCCACTGAGCTATGTGGCTCTTTTTCAGAAGCGACCTGACTATCACAAATGATAGCTCAACAAAGTGGCTTATGTGGAAATGTATAGCAGCCCAAATACTATTCATATTCTTTGGGTCTTCGGTATATCCACGTAAATAGAAAAAATTATAAAAATAAAATAACAATACGACGTTTTGATCGCAACACAAGCAATCGTCATCAGATCGAAACGTCGTGTTATTGTTATTATTTGTATTATTTTTTTTATCTACGTGGCTTTACCAAAAGAGCCAAAGAATATGAATTCCTGCAGTCACAAAAGCTTTAAGTCAAGCCCAAATACTATAAACGCATATTAATAAATGTGGAGGGAAAAAATGGAGGACCCGAAGAAAATTCCATGCGACCATGGGAGAGAGACATGCAAACTACAAATATACAGGCGTCAGGGTCGGGATCGAACCCACAACCTTCTGTATATCAGGCGAGGTAGTCAACATCTCGAAACCATTGCACCCTTATTGGGTAACTCGAGGCCAATGTTTTTCATTTGCCAAAGTGTTACCAATTTTAGCAGCCCCTTGTCTCTGTTGGCTGCTGCTTTTTTCAATCACTGGAAGTAGCACCCCAGGGTTGACACAAAGGAAAATGACCAACAGATAGCAGGCATAGACATTGAGGGTTCTGGCAAATGGAAGGAAGCAATGGCGCGGTGTGTGCAACCAACAGCACATGCTCTGATGACTTCTTTACCTTTGCAGAAACATTCAAAGTCAACGCTTGCAAGCTGCAGGTGTCTTATATTACATTCACATGCCAGGGTGTAGTTGGAACCCACATGCCAGGGTGTAGTTGGAACCCACATGCCAGGGTGTAGTAGGAACCCACATGCCAGGGTGTAGTTGGAACTCACACGCCAGGGTGTAGTAGGAACCCACATGCCAGGGTGTAGTTGGAACTCACACGCCAGGGTGTAGTAGGAACCCACATGCCAGGGTGTAGTTGGAACTCACACGCCAGGGTGTAGTTGGAACCCACATGCCAGGGTGTAGTAGGAACCCACATGCCAGGGTGTAGTAGGAACCCACATGCCAGGGTGTAGTTGGAACTCACACGCCAGGGTGTAGTAGGAACCCACACGCCAGGGTGTAGTAGGAACCCACATGCCAGGGTGTAGTTGGAACTCACACGCCAGGGTGTAGTAGGAACCCACATGCCAGGGTGTAGTTGGAACTCACACGCCAGGGTGTAGTAGGAACCCACATGCCAGGGTGTAGTTGGAACTCACACGCCAGGGTGTAGTAGGAACCCACATGCCAGGGTGTAGTTGGAACTCACACGCCAGGGTGTAGTAGGAACCCACATGCCAGGGTGTAGTTGGAACTCACACGCCAGGGTGTAGTTGGAACCCACATGCCAGGGTGTAGTAGGAACCCACATGCCAGGGTGTAGTTGGAACTCACACGCCAGGGTGTAGTAGGAACCCACATGCCAGGGTGTAGTTGGAACTCACACGCCAGGGTGTAGTTGGAACCCACATGCCAGGGTGTAGTAGGAACCCACATGCCAGGGTGTAGTAGGAACCCACATGCCAGGGTGTAGTTGGAACTCACACGCCAGGGTGTAGTAGGAACCCACATGCCAGGGTGTAGTAGGAACCCACACGCCAGGGTGTAGTTGGAACTCACACGCCAGGGTGTAGTAGGAACCCACACGCCAGGGTGTAGTTGGAACTCACACGCCAGGGTGTAGTAGGAACCCACACACCAGGGTGTAGTAGGAACCCACATGCCAGGGTGTAGTTGGAACTCACACGCCAGGGTGTAGTTGGAACTCACATGCCAGGGTGTAGTAGGAACTCACATGCCAGGGTGTAGTAGGAACCCACACGCCAGGGTGTAGTAGGAACCCACACGCCAGGGTGTAGTTGGAACCCACACGCCAGGGTGTAGTTGGAACCCACACGCCAGGGTGTAGTTGGAACCCACACGCCAGGGTGTAGTTGGAACCCACACGCCAGGGTGTAGTTGGAACCCACACGCCAGGGTGTAGTAGGAACCCACATACCAGGGTGTAGTAGGAACCCACACGCCAGGGTGTAGTAGGAACCCACACGCCAGGGTGTAGTAGGAACCCACACGCCAGGGTGTAGTAGGAACCCACATACCAGGGTGTAGTAGGAACCCACATGCCAGGGTGTAGTAGGAACCCACACGCCAGGGTGTAGTAGGAACCCACACGCCAGGGTGTAGTAGGAACCCACACGCCAGGGTGTAGTAGGAACCCACACGCCAGGGTGTAGTAGGAACTCACACGCCAGGGTGTAGTAGGAACCCACATGCCAGGGTGTAGTTGGAACCCACACGCCAGGGTGTAGTAGGAACCCACACGCCAGGGTGTAGTAGGAACCCACACGCCAGGGTGTAGTAGGAACCCACATGCCAGGGTGTAGTAGGAACCCACATGCCAGGGTGTAGTTGGAACCCACACGCCAGGGTGTAGTTCGAACTCACATGCCAGGGTGTAGTAGGAACCCACACGCCAGGGTGTAGTAGGAACTCACACGCCAGGGTGTAGTAGGAACCCACACGCCAGGGTGTAGTAGGAACTCACACACCAGGGTGTAGTAGGAACCCACACGCCAGGGTGTAGTAGGAACCCACACGCCAGGGTGTAGTAGGAACCCACACGCCAGGGTGTAGTAGGAACCCACATGCCAGGGTGTAGTAGGAACCCACATGCCAGGGTGTAGTTGGAACCCACACGCCAGGGTGTAGTAGGAACCCACACGCCAGGGTGTAGTAGGAACCCACATGCCAGGGTGTAGTTGGAACCCACACGCCAGGGTGTAGTTGGAACTCACATACCAGGGTGTAGTTTGAACCCACACGCCAGGGTGTAGTAGGAACCCACACGCCAGGGTGTAGTAGGAACCCACATACCAGGGTGTAGTAGGAACCCACATGCCAGGGTGTAGTAGGAACCCACACGCCAGGGTGTAGTTGGAACTCACATACCAGGGTGTAGTTTGAACCCACACGCCAGGGTGTAGTAGGAACCCACACGCCAGGGTGTAGTTGGAACCCACACGCCAGGGTGTAGTAGGAACCCACACGCCAGGGTGTAGTAGGAACCCACATGCCAGGGTGTAGTTGGAACCCACACGCCAGGGTGTAGTAGGAACCCACATACCAGGGTGTAGTTGGAACCCACACGCCAGGGTGTAGTTGGAACCCACATGCCAGGGTGTAGTAGGAACCCACACGCCAGGGTGTAGTTGGAACTCACATACCAGGGTGTAGTTGGAACCCACACGCCAGGGTGTAGTAGGAACCCACATACCAGGGTGTAGTTTGAACCCACACGCCAGGGTGTAGTAGGAACCCACACGCCAGGGTGTAGTAGGAACCCACATGCCAGGGTGTAGTTGGAACCCACACGCCAGGGTGTAGTAGGAACCCACATGCCAGGGTGTAGTTGGAACCCACACGCCAGGGTGTAGTAGGAACCCACATACCAGGGTGTAGTTGGAACCCACACGCCAGGGTGTAGTTGGAACCCACATGCCAGGGTGTAGTAGGAACCCACACGCCAGGGTGTAGTTGGAACCCACATGCCAGGGTGTAGTTGGAACCCACACGCCAGGGTGTAG